TTCATTTTTGAAATTACTTCTGTCAACCAGCACACAGTGCTGAACTGGGCTTCAGGAAGTGGAAAGACGGAAACATGGTAGTAGCTGAAGATGCAGGCAGACTGTTATGGAGGGGATGTTTTCCAATGCCTGAGCTGAATCCAAAAGTGGTTAAAATCCTGCTACTAAGTTGAGCTATAGCATCCAAAACCTAATTCCTTGGGCAATTGAGAATTGAGCCTTGACCAAATGGAAGGCATCTGTTAGCAGTCATTAAACCAAATAAAGGGGGCAAAAGGTGAGTTTAGCAGGATTCAGCATAGGGACCAAGCTAAAGGTTGTGAGGATCTCGGAATGAGAGACCAAAGTGCTTAAACTGAGGGTAAAAGAGAGTCATAGACAGGAAGGAAAAAGGAGTGTATGTTATAAGTAAATACCTTAGAAATGTCGTGGATTAGTCAGATGAAAGCAAGTTCTTGCAAATGAGAACCTGGAAAGGTGCCAATTCAGGTTATTTTGTGAGCAAATATAACTAAAATTTCATGGGGCAACCACACCTATGGCTATCTACCAATAAGCATTTTGTTATGAGAGTTCTCAGAGATAATTTAAATGCCATCTTCAGTAGAGTAGGATCAATGTTTTTGAGCAGTAAAAATTAAATAGTATTTTCTACAATAAGCGTATCAAGCAAACCTTGAATATACCTTATTCTCATGTACTGCACGAATCTTTCTGGAAAACTTTTCTTAAATTTGAGCAATTAATAACTTGTCACAATGATGAAAATCTCTTTGAGTTACTACTCAGTAACTCTTTGTTCTTAAGATATCTATTTGTTTTGTACAAGGTGTCAACAACACTGCAAAGAGCAGCTGGGCGTGAAACGAGATATGTAAGTACTTTTATAATTACTCTACATTTTGCATGCAGAAATGTCTAATTTGTCTGCTCTTGCTACAACACTGGGTGAGTCTGCACAGGCATCTGTCATGCATTCATGACATGAGATTGCTGGCTAGTAGAGAAGCAAGTATGTAAGAGGACTGACAATTGAGACCTGAGATGTCTTCCCACTGCCATAAATCCATCATGGCTGGAATGTCTTCAGTGCAGTGTCTATTGATAAGTTTAGATGTGTGAATACGATGTTAAAATTAATTTCTTCACACACTTCTTCATTGTTTGCTTCAAGCGTGGGGCAAGAGCTTGGCCATCTGGCAAACAGGCTGTTACGGGTGCTGAAGGGTGCATTTGTTTGGACTCAGCTGGCACTGTAGGGGACTTGTTTTGGTAGAATTCCTTTAGTCCTTGCCTATCCATCAGAATTTGGGGTTGCCCCAAACTTTTCATTCCAAGATGTAGAGCTGGCTGAAAACCCACAGTTTGTCCTTAGATGAATACAAGCTGGTTTGTCACATATACACGCATTCCAACATATAAAGAAATTCTCTATATTGAGTCATCTGTTCAATTATTGAAACATTAAACCCAATTAACATTTTAATTCTCACTAGCACACACAGTTACTACAGGTTCCATATCTCACTTACAACTCTGCTAGTCACGTGGTGAGAAATTTCTGCTTATTATTCATTATTCAGCATTTGTATTGAACCTCAAATCAAAGCAGTGCTGGCAAAGCAATAGAGGCCTTCCACTTTTATGCCAGCACAATGCTTGACCGATCAATTCAATTTTGTTTCTTGAATGTGGCGGTATGCATATTTTATTGCATACTGTGATTTTTACTTGACAGATTGTGCTGGCTCATACTAATTAGAAAGGATATTGGAAGAGAGCTTTTTAATGAAATAAAAGAGTGTGTTTCAGAGGTATTCTGTGAGAACAAAGTATATTTAAAACCACTCCACAGTGCAGATCTCCAGCTCCCAAAACTGTGAGTCTCATATATCATAAATTCAGGTATCCAAGTTGTATGCCTAGGGATACAGTCAGGTTTTCTTTGCTGGCATAAAAATCACCCTTACAATCTCTTCTTTCCCAGTCTCCCCTGGAACTTTCTAGATAAAGGAAACAAATCAGTATTTTAAAACATGTTTGGGAATAACAGAAGATTATTGGCAGGCTAACATTTCCTATAAATTGTACAAGCATGTTGAATTTTTTTGTGTGTCAGAAAACAGACTGTGATCTCCAGGTTGTGCTATGGTAGCTGAACTTGGTGGGTCCAGGTTCTCCTGGACTCTGCCATCACTGCAGTCTGCAGCAGAGTCTCCTGAGGGATGAGCCAGGTGTCCCTAACAGCCCCCATAGCACCACATTTCTTTCACCCTCTCTTGCTCTGCTTCCCTGGTAGGCCATACAAAGGCTATTTCTGTCTCAGCGAATACACCAGGAAGCGGCTTGTCCTCTGGTTCTTAGGGCAAGGGCACACTGAGGTGGTTTTCCATAGAGTTGTCTTCTCCTCTTCCCCTTCCAATTCCCTCCCCTCAAAGTGAGCCTCCTAGCACAGCACAAGACCTAGGGTGACCTCATCCCTTTAGCTCACCGAGAGCAGCATGTTCCATGCTACCATGTAGACTACCATGGAGAACTCTCTGGAAGAGCAGTAGTTGGCATGGGCCAAAGCATGCAAAGGAGTGTGCTAACAGTTAACTGGAAAGGACCTGTTCCTGAGCTGCTGTGTGTGCTGACTTGTTCACTAGAGGAGATATAGTCCAGGGGCCAACATTTCTTTGCAGTTGGTACAAGATGTCTGTTTTGAAACAAGGTGCCTACTCTGAGCCAATCTAACAGTGTTGCTGGTAGAAATCAGGAACTGAGTATTGTACGGACACTTGTTACCATAATATCAAACTGTGAGTTCCCCCAGGAGGTCTGTGGTGTCTCATGTGAGCTGTCTTGGAGTAATGATTTTCAGCCATCCTTGTTTTGCTTTTTTTTTTTCATTTAGAAATAGGCTTTTAGTTTATGCAACTGAATTAATTTTACTAGAAACAATTAAAATGGTAATTTAGCAATATAATTTTCTTAGTCTTTTTGTATTGTGTGATATTGAGATGTCTTGTGATGTCTGATAGTGAGACACTTGTCAAAATGTTGCTTTGAGGGTTTTTTGCTTAAAAGAAAAGCTTTAATTTGTTTTTGAGTCAGGGATAGGAAAATCTGTCATCATGCTAAAGTATTACTTATAAACACACATGCATATAAATGTATATGTATGCACACACATATGATAATATTACTAATTACTTTGATGGGTTATATGGAGTAGTAGACTATACAAAGATGTTGAAATAGCCTGCCATTTAACAATTAAAATGGCATAGATTTGCCTTGGCCTCAATTACTTTTTGTCTTCTCATGCACTTCAGAACCTTTTAAGTATGTAAATTATTATACAAATAGCAAGGGAGTGTATAAAATGTTTAGAAAAATGTCTGACTGCAGTGTGTCCTGGTTTTGGCTGGGATAGAGTTAATTTTCTTCCTAGTAGCTGGCATAGTGCCGTGTTTTGGATTTAGTATGAGAAGAATG